CACAAAACCAAAAGAGGAAGAAGTTGTTAGGAAGCGGAGGTGTAAATCCATCTCCAACATGATCCCTCATATGCAACTCAATTCTTTTTTATGGGCCAGGCAGAATGGAATATTAACGAATAACTGGTGGCACCATGATAGTAATACTAGAAACTTGGACCTCCTGCTTTAGATACTATCAATTTGTGATTCGATCTCCAGAAAGAATAATCCACTAGAAAAAGGTAAAAGTTCAGAATTATCCAACCCTCACCTCAGAAATGAAAGAAGAAATTAGAATCCATGTTTTAACAAACTAAATAATGTAATCTTCTTTGTGCTTTCTGAAGCTGTATTACCTTTTACTTATCTCATTTGACTCATCTTCATCTGTGAAGCATACAAGTTCGTCTAAAAGAGCGGGGAGTGCAGCAGCAAAAATTTCTTGTTTGTTGGAACCAGTTTGCTCATGGTAGAACTGAAGGACAGAGAGCAATTCTTGCCCATCAGCTCGATGAAGAGCATAAGCAAGTACTTTAGGTAGCCAATTAACAATTAGTTGCACCATATCTGTATTTAAGCACTTGGCGAGCTCATATAGGGTGAAAATTGCTTGATCATTATCCTGCTGAGTAACGACCAACTTTGGGAGGACGACAGGAACCATTCTCTGCACAAGTTCTTCAGTATCAATACCAAGAATAGCTCCCGCAAACTCTTCAACCATTTTTGGTCGGCTAGCAAGCCTTATAGACAGGTAATCGAAAAACTCATTTCGAATATGAAGAAAACGAGAAAGAATTAATTCAAATCCTCCTTTAAGATGAAAGTAGCAAGACCTTATTATCAACCTTGATGCAATTATTCTAACTGTCACATGGGGATTATCAAGCTGATCAATCAATAAAATAAGAGAGAACATAAAGGACTGACTCTGCACCTCAACCACCTTCATAATCTCAGCTGTAGCTTCTAGAAGAGTTGCAAAAACCAAGGGATCATCCGCTGTTTCAAAAGCGTGTTTTATTTTGTCAATGAACTTTCGTTCTTTTGATTTGCTCACAGACTCGTGGCCCCCCTCATCCAAGAACAAACAATTCAGAATAGGTTCCTCAATGAAGAAACCAATCTGTTTAGAAAAGGATTCTCGAATGGCCCTTTTCCTGTGAATGAGTAGGAAATCAACACATTTTAACCATTCATATCTTGTTTTAATCAGAATATTTTCAGTTCCATGGAGGAGTATCCTCTGAACCACACGTACACAGGCTAACTGAACATCTTCTGATGATTCATCAAAAAGAAGACGGAAGAAGATGGATTGTAAATAAACATAATCATGATCTCTAGTAGATTCTTTCTTCTGTAAGTAAGGAGGACACAACACAGTTGAATTTGATGGGTTCACAAGTCCATTTCTGTCACACTTTGAACACCAAAATCCTCCCGCAAGGTCATCCATTGTCATATTTAGTCTTATATTATCCTTTGGCAAGTAAAATTTGCATTGGCATTCCGTTAGTACACCAGTTGTACAGGACGCATAAAGGCATGCCAAATAACCAAGACACCCCGGGATTACTTTGTTAATTCGTCCATCCGCCTCTTTTTCCAGGATCCTGCAAACCAATATAAGAAATAGCTAATACATTATTGATCTGGTTGATTGCTTGACATTATAGACACAGAGACGCAGAAAATTAATGAAATTACTCCAACTTAATTCTGCACATCCATATGCACAAGCTCGTATGTTTAATTTTATATGAGCAGATAAGCACAAAACCACGTGACAATATAAAACATACAGCAGCTAAAAAACCTCTTTTGACTGTTATATAGACCAGTCTTGTTCATACAAATATACATTAAAACATAAATATATAGCTTTTTCTCACTTACTCCAGCCTCTTGAACATGTGACTCAGTAAACCAAAACCGGACCACATTAATATCACAGGCATTGAAATGACAGCTTCGATCCTAACATCCTCGGCGGTATCATGGAGTCCCAAGTCCAATATATCAAGATCATTTCCACCTTGCAATACAGCCCCCATTTTAGACAGCACACGCAGAGAAATGATCTTTGCCTTCGACAATGAGTGGGTATCAGTAGATTGAGATCCGGTCCATGATAGCCTTATCAATGACTGCATAAGAGCTGAGTTGCCACCCTTGGTCTTGAAATATTTACTCTCAGTAGGAACGGATCCTAAATAGATTTTACGCATTAAAAAGGAAAGACAAAAAAACAAAGAAAGAAAGCAGCTAATGGAAGATTGATACTTATCTTTTCATTGACTCACAGATACACCATCTTTGAGGATGTCATAAATGACCAAATGAAATTCAAATTACTCTCATTGCTATGAAACAAAGTAAATTTCAGCTACAATTCACATTGAAAACACAAAGGTGTCCCCAGTTATGTTGATAATACCAGAGCGACCAGTTATGTTGATATGCATACTACTGCTGGCTAGTTCAAATAAACGGAACAGAGCAAGAAGAAGAAATGGGAGAGATTTATCAAATACTAAATTGATAACACTTATCTGTAAAGTACCAAGACGTCGGAAACTGAATTAAGAACCTATTCCCGGCTGTAGTTGCTTCACAAGGATCAATATCATTTTAGTATTTGGACTAATCAGTAATATTTGTTTTTCTATGAAGCGACTAAGCAGTAAGATTTCTTCTGGCAGAAGCTTCAGAATTAGTACAAACTATGCTGCTGCCTTAATACCCAACAAATTCAAACACGTTTAATTGACATGTGGTCTTTAATAAGTATCAGCATCGAAAGAGCAAGCAAGTCAAAAATGGATAAGTCGTTCCAATTTGCCAGAATTTGAATACCAGCACAGTTACATCAATCAAAATAGCCAATTAGGAAGAATGATCGACACACATATACATAGAGTAACAAAAATATGTGGGAACTCTTATTACTTCACTCAAATGACCTTGTTTTTACAAACAATGAATATTTTTTAGCCTGATAGATAATTAGTAACGAAGAGTCACCGGAAGTGCAGAATGAATTAGCATATATCTACCATTTACCTGCTATGATCAATAGGTTGTGAATCGCTTCCAGAAGGAAATGTAAATCAATAGGGAATGGAAATTTCTGCTTTGCCTGCATGACGATGACCATAATTATGGGGGCGAAAAAAATCATAACTTAAATGACATGCATAACTGACAACCAACCTGTTCACACACCCAAGGGACCCATTCATACATCTGATGGAATATTTGAATTGAAAGGTCCATGTGAGGATATCTGCAGAAAATAATACAGAGTGTACTAAGAGCTGTCAATGCAACTTCTGGGCCCAAAGTACTGGATTCCTGACTTGGAGGCTTTAGAAGTTTAATAAACAGAGTCAATGAGCTACGCATATGATCAGCAAACTGTTTCTCCCCCAAAGAGCCAAATCCATGGCTAAGCTTAATCACATCATCATATTTGATACTGGAACATCGATTTTCATCATCGATTTTCTGATGTTTGGCATTTGAAATCTCCAAGTCTTCTCCTGGCCTCTTCTCTGCAGCCCTTGGACTTTCATGCACATCAGATAAATCTGTTTCATCATTATTAACGCTTTTACCCCCAGTAAGATCAGGAAAAAGCCTAGATAAAGCCACTTGAAAGCACTCGATTAAAGGCATGATAGGTGTGGGTGAGTAAAGCAAATGTATTAGAGATTCAGGCCTCCAGATATGAGGGGGGCAAGTCTTTGCAATACGAGTATAGGCAAGACATAAAGCATCCTGAAACAAGTTTACAAATATTAGAACAAATTAAATCAAAGAGCAAAAATCAAATTCATTCAGGTTGCTTAAAAAGAAGGAAGAATGACAAAAACTCAGTGCACCTTCAGCACAAGACTTCTTGTTTTAAGCAACGAATGGGGAAAGATATTTACTAAATCGGCAGATGTCGATCTAACAATGTCATCAGGACAACTGGAGTATAATACATGAAGGCATCCACCAATGGATGAATCATAAGTTGTATTGCTGCAGTGAAAGAAGGCATTATGTGCAGAAGCAAATTAAACAATCAAACACGGAAAGATTCAGAATAAACAGAGCAAATGGGATTTTAGATTAAATTCCTCTTACACATCGACCTTGTACTCAAATCCCTCTTACACACTTGTTAAACACGGGAATAGTATTACACACCAAAACTTTTAAGAGTGTCAATTACACACCTCTTTTTCCATGTGTCACACGCGTGTATTACACGTAAAAGAGGCACGTTAAAACTAAAAAATTCATCTGAAATTAAGTTTTTTTTTCTATTTTTCCCCTTTTTTTTTAACTATTTCCTTTTTAAATTAAAGAGAAAAAAATACAACCCATGCCTTCTTCCCCAACCCCAAACCCCAGCGTCCCTCCCCCCTGTTTCGTCTTCTTCCCAACCCTCATCCTAGTTTTGTCTACCCCTCATATTTCGCCTCTCCAACCCCCATGACAAAGAAGAAAAAGAAAAAGAAGAAAAGAGGAGGGTCTTGTAAAAATCACTATTATTGACCTTTTGAAAAAGCTTGAAAATTTAATCGGGTCTTGTTGATTTTGGTGTTCCATGACCTAGAAAATTAGTTTGAATTCGTGATTATTGTTGAGTAGAAATTTACTAAAAATATGCTGAAAATTTGGTGATTAATTTTGATAAAATTCAAAAAACACCATTAACAAGTTTGAAGCTTTGGGTTTGAGCTTGAATTTGAAATTTGTATAAGGTTTTTGTGATGAATGTTGTTAAAACTTGTTAAAAATCGGCAAAGAGTTGAATCTATAGTTAGGGAAGAAGGTGCTTGTGATGGAAGGGTTGGTGGTAGTGGAGAAGATGATGGGGTTGGGAAGATGAGGAGGGGGCGGGGTTTTTTCTTTTTTGTTTTTTTTTCTTTGGGAAGATGAGGAGAGGGGGTGGGGTGTGGGGGGGCAGAGGTTTTTTTTTTAGTATTTCTTTTTTTTCTCGATTTATGACACGTGTCAAGATGCTGATTGGCGCGTGTAATAGCAATCTTTAAGCATATGTGGTCAAACACCGAAGTGGTGTGTAATTGACACACCTTTAAAATTTTTGGTCTGTAATATTATTCCCGTATTTAACAGGTGTGTAAGAGGGGTTTGGGGACAAGGTTGATGGGTAAAGTATGTATTTTGCCTTCATATTAAGATAGGGTATATATCCAAGGCCATGGCAGATGCACGGAATGAAATTTAAGAAACCTCACCTCACTTGCAAACAAATTAAAACCAGATAGCAAATGTTACAACAAGATACTCCAAAGGAAATTATCTAGTTTACATAGCAAGAGATATAATACGTGGTCCAAAAGCAAAGATTCTTAAACATTGAGTAATTTAAGCTTGAGAAAACTTGGGCTTGCAACTAGCGGTGTGGCTCCACAGAGCACAAAATAGAGTAAAAGAACCCCTTTATCATTATTCTCAAGCCCTCTCAGGTCTCAACTAAGGCAAGTTCCGACAACAGAAAAGGCTGTAAAGAATTGAAGTCAGAAAAGAATTGTTAAGTTGCATTTCCCTTCTCTTATATAGTTACGACGGAATGTATTAAAAAGAAGAAAAAATAACATTGTTTATTCCAGCAAAACATTTAATTTAGATGGCAAAGCAGTCGTGAGGAGGGTCACACTAGCTGTCCTTCCCTAGTCTTTTTTTTATGAAAAACGTAAAAGATTTCATTAATGAGTACCAAGAAGATACCAGAAAGAGTACAAACTGAGAAGTTTCCTTCTATATATTTAAGGAATCATAGAGTGCATATCAGATACACTGCAGTTCCTACACCATATGTATAGACTCTTCAAACATCTAGATTTAACATGAAATATGCTTTTCTCCTATCATTAAAGCATCTGTTATTCCTCTCCTGCCAGATATTCCAAGAAATACATGTAGGAATTGCATTCCAATGTACTGCTCATATTAGCTGCATATAGCAAAATCTATGCAACCTGCATAGAGCTGTCCTACACCACTTCTAAAACTGAATAGCTCCCAGCCTCTACCAGAATAGGAAGGAGAAAAAATGAGGAAAACAAACCTTGTTATGAACCATTTCTAGAAGAAGTTGCCACGAAGTTGCTATGTGATTGCTAAAGGGTGTGGTCAGGATAAGAACCTCAACCTAGATCAAAAAACACTGGATCTTTCTCATATATATAAGTCCACAAATTAGCAAAGCAAATAGGAAATATCCCCGGATTGAAAGGCAAAGAGAATACACAAAAGTATTTTGCATTTCTGCTAAGCAGAGAAGAAAGTTACATTGGCCCATTCTTTACTTTTTATTTTTCTATATAAATGGCACGTTTACTACATTTCTACTAGTATCCATATTCACTGAGCCAAATGCAGAGGAGAGGAATAGCAATGTTACACAAGATTTAGAGGAGGCCGAGGTTCAACCTTTTTCCCCTGCAGCATCAAAACTCCAAAGTCAAAAGTTAAGCAACTTTACCTGAAGACCGGAAGCGCATCCTCATCTCCGCGTAATATGGTCATAATCAATTGAATCAATCTCTCAACAGGAATGATTTCATGATTCATAGCTGCTCCAATGATTCTCAGCAAGTCAAAACATGCCTTGATTGAAATTTTGACAAGGAAAACATCAGATTAATAAAGTAAAACAACAGAGCATAAAGGACCTCAAGCTATGAATAACTATAAATTAGGTTATGAAGATAGCTTGCTATGAAAGTACCAACCATGTGCACATCAGCATCTCCATAACACAGAAGGGTACATGCAGATAAAACAGATGAGGTCTCAAGGAGTCCTTCAACATATAGGGTTCCTTCAGTTAAACATTTACAGAGAATCTTGATGGAAGAAGAAGCAAAAGGCTGCCACCTTTCTTTGCCTTTGACATTAATCAGAATACCATTGCCGTCGGAAGGCTTACAACACAAGGGGAGATCACTTAATACCGTTGTATCATGGTTGCTCCAACCTCCACAGAGTGACTCACTGAAACACCTCAAAAGTACTTTCCTTGATTCTGTAGAGCTTGGCTTATCACATAGTGAAGCAACACTAAGAAGATCTATATGAAGAAAAAACTAGTCAGGTTTTCTGGTAAGCAATCGAATGAGCAGAAAAGTTGTCTACTAGATGTTTGATTTTCTCAATAGAAATTAGGAAAAACTACGTAGCTCAAGCTCAATGAAGATAAGCATAACATCACCATATTCGTTGTGCAAATAAAATTCAGGGAAAATGTCCATGACAGTTAGAGCATAGTCATAATCGAGAAACCTCCAAGCACACATCTCAATCTTAACTACGATTAGGATAGAAGCCATATAAAACAAAAACCATTTAGCCAAACAGTCACCGGCTAGTTACAGATATCTATTGTTTGTTTCCATTTAACTCTATCTAGGACAAAGTCAAAACATTGTTTCTAATTATCTCTTCCCATGTTATCTGGCAATCCTCATCAGTCATTCTTTGCATTGATGTTTTCTTTCAACTCCCTTTGACCTGATCGCAATAAGCTTAATGTACCTGAGAATAGTTTATCTCCCAAAGGCACAACTTTAGCAATTTGCTGACTCTAGTCACAGTGAAATTTTTGGTTGAGTATTTACCACCAATCCATATTGCAATTTGTGGATCTACTGGAACTACTTGAAAACTATTTCCAATGTGTACCTTCAACCACCGATATTGTGTCCATAAAGAATTGTCGATAAGCATCTCGATCTCCTGTACGAAGAGTGGATAACAGGGCTCCGATTGTTTCAATAACCACCCCGTGTCTAGAGCTGGAAAATCAAAATGGTCGTTAGCTGTTACTCTTAACTACATGGAATTAGTCTTAGGTAACTCTCATAAAACTTCAATTCTAACTCCTTATCACTTCAGTATCTTGACACATGCAAAAAACTACAAATAGGCTCTCTCATCAAGGGTCAAAATTCTACTGAGAAAAGAGTCTAACAGCACGCTTACGTGTTTCTTAGCAACAGATAATTAAAGAGCTTACTGCAAGGCAAGACTAACAGATTCAAGTAAGCTTTTTTCTCAATAATAGTTATTTCCGTGTCTATAGCTGGAAAAATCAGAATGATGGTTAGCTGTACTCTTAACTACATGGAAAGAATCTGAGGTGACTCCAAATAAAACTTCACTTCTAACTCCTTATCTCTTCAGAATCTTGAAATATGCAAGAAAGCACAAATGTGCTCTTATTTAGGGTCCAAATTCCAATGAGCAAAGAGGCTATGTCTTTCTTACCAACAACAGATAATAAGAGTTTATCACAAGCAAGACCAACAAACTCAAGTAAGCTCTTAATTATTAGTGATGTCTAGACCAGCTTGCGACACCTTCACTAATTCACACCCACCACTAGCACAATTGCCAGGTAACCCAGCCAACCAAGGCTGGGCAGCTGATTTCAAACGGAGGGTTATAGCCACGACTCAAACTTAACATCTATAGTCTTAACACAGGTTCACGGAAGCAATTGCTCGACTATGAAAAATGTATAATGTTCCAAAGTAACTTACCGAAAAGTAGGTTCAGCTAAAAATGGCAAAATGCGCCCTATCACCGGAAGCACAGCACTAGCCTTGCCATGGTAATAAACTCCAGGAAAGTTCTTCGCAGTGTGTGATATAAGCCTTAGCACAGCAAAAACCTCTCTCTCTATCGCTAAAATAAAAACCAAAAAAAAAAAGGAATCAACTAACTTAACGTTCATAGATATACAGAGTTACAAAAGAAGATTCCAGAAATAAATTGAGACCTGAAGAAGAAGGAACGACATAGGCATTGAGAAGATTGGGAAGTACGGCGCGAAATCGGACCTCTAATGCGTCGTCGTTTCGGATGTTTGGAGGTGTAGATGATGAAGCTGCTTCTCGAAGTTCGTGGACTAAACTCGAGAGATTCGCCATGGCCGTTTGTGCACTCTTTGCTTCCCTCCTTTTTCAAACTGTACTCTTTCTGTCTTCCCTAATTTGATCGGGTCGACCCGGGTTGCCTGCGTTTGTCGGATTTGGAGGGAAACTCGCCCCAGCAGTGCCTTCAATGTTTATTCTTTTACGGTGGTTTTTCTCTTGTTTCTTGTTTAAGATAGCAATAGTTTTTTTTTGATAAGGTAAGATAGCAATAGTAATATTAAATATTAAAAAAAATATTAATTAACTTAATTTGTGATCAGCTTGTTTGAACATATTAGATCATATCGTTTTAATAAACTTCAATTGTCATCTTATTTGTCAATACGATATACCCAATAATAAAATCTCTATTAAATTAAAAAGACTTATATAATCATTGAATAACTTTTTTGTTCTGTATTTTTCTTTATTATATTATCCAATGTTTAGTATTATTACATTATTAATAGAAAATTTTATTAGCGTATTACTTTGTTTAATATTTTTGCCTATTCGCTTTCTTTTTATAATATAATAGAAGATATATATTTTAGTACTTTTGAATATTTTTTATTTTTTATTTTATTCTATTATTCTCAATAATATTATCTGATTTTTATGAATAAATACACTTTTTATTTAAAAAAACAAAAATATTTTTTTTTTTAAAAGAACTCTCACCCATGTTTGAGTAGTTAATTTCTTTGTGTCTTTCTTTTTATCATTTTGGTTTTTTATTTTTTTCTTAAATAATTTTTGAATCTTCAAATTTGTTAGAGCTTTGTCCTAAAATTTTGTCACTTGTTAAATTTTGTTGTTACACTTGGAATTATCACATTGATTTGCTTCTCATATTCTATATAGATAGAATAGAATAGGTATTGTCTAAATTTTAATGAATAAAATCTCTATTAAATTAAAGGAACCTATATAGTTATCGAATAACTATTCCGTTATGTATTTTTTAATTATATTATTCAATGTTTAGTATAATTACATTGTTAATAGAAACTATTAGCATATTACTTGCTTAATATTTTTATATGCTACTTTCTTTTTGTAATATAATAGAAAATATATTTTATTACTTTTGAAAATATTTTTATTTTAAATTTTATTATATTTTTCTCAATAATGTTGTCTGATTTTTAATGAATAAATATATTTTTTATATCAAAAAAGAAAAATAAAAATGATTTAAAAAAAAAAACAAAGAAATTAACTAACCTAAACCAACTATCACCCATGCTAGAGTAGTTAATTTTAGTTAGCTAATTTTTTGTTAATTTCTAATAAATAATTATTAACTAAATAACTAATTAAGCAATGTGGCTTATATCTAGGCTACCACCTGGGTAAATATGGTGCTTTTTTCTCTCGCTTTTAATAATATTAGATATATATTAAGTATAATTACATTGTTAATAGTAATTATTTGCATATTACTTGCTTAATATTTTTGTCTGCTATTTTTTATAATAGAAAATATATATTTTATTACTCAAAAAGCTTTCTCTCTAGGGTTCCTCTCAGCACACGATTAGCGTGAGCAGCTAATGTAACGATTCGGCCGGTCGTTTTGAGAGTAATAGCCCCGATCCCCTATTTACTATTTTTTTCGTACCTTTTTCTGCTTATGTGACTTGCCGGGAGATTCTGTTTGTGGTTCCGGAGTGATTTGGGACATTTAGTCCCTAAAACGGAAGCTTAAGTCCTATGATATTGACCGTAGTTGGAACTGTATGAGGACGACTCTGAAATGGAGTTTTGTCGGTTCTGTTAGCTCTGTTGGGTGATTTTGGACTTCGGAGCGTGTCCGGATTATGTTTTGGAGGCCTGTAGATGAATTAGGCTTGAAATGGCGAAAGTTAAATTTTTTGGAAGTTTGACCGGAAGTGGACTTTTTGATATAGGGGTCGGATTCCGATTCAGGAAGTGGTAGTAGGTCCATAATGTCGAATATAACTTGCGTGCAAAATTTGAGGTCAATCGGACGTGGTTTGATAGGTTTCGGCATCGGTTGTAGAAGTTTAAAGTTTCAAAGTTCATTAAGTTTGGATTGGTGGGTGATTCGTGTTTTTGTCGTTGTTTGATGTATTTTGAAGGTTCGACTAAGATCGTATGGTGTTATAGGACTTGTTGGTATATTTGGTTGAGGTCCCGGGGGCCTCGGGTGAGTTTCGGATGCTTAACGGATTATTTTGGACTTGTGAAGAATTGCAGAATTTTCTGGTTTTCCAGTTACTGGTTTCCTTCTTCGCGTTCGCGATGGGAGACCCGCATTCGCGAAGAGGAACTGGTGGCAGGTGGGATTTTATGCTTCACGTTCGCGATGGAGGTCCCACGTTCGCGAAGCTCTGAGGCAAATGGTCTACGCGTTCGCGATGAAAGTCCCGCATTCGCGTAGAGGAAGTGGTCACCTGAGTCTTCATGCCCATTTTTGCCTACACGTTCGCGATGTTGGTCTCGCGTTCGCGTAGGGTCGAGCTGAGTGACCTTCGCATTCGCGATTAGTCAATCGCGTTCGCGATGAAGGGTTTCGAGCCGGAGTAAGTTTGTGCTTCGCGAACGCGAGGGTTCTGTCGCGTTCGTGAAGAAGGGATGCCTAGGCAGAATATAACATTCCAAAACCGAGGGTTAAGCCATTTTTAGCATAACTTGAGATAGATGGCTTGGATTTGGACGGGATTTTGAGAAATTTTTAGAGACATCGATTGGGTAATAATTTTTTACTTATTTTTGGGTATATCCCACTAATCTATCATTAATTTCATCCTTTAATTTTGGATTTGGGTTGAAATATTTGGGGGAAATGGGAGAAAGTTCTTCAACTAAGTTTTTGGGTTTTGATTTGAATTTTGTTGTCGGATTTGGATAATTTTGGTACGAGTGAACTCATGAGATAATGGGTATTCATATTTTGTGACTTTTACCCGATTCCGAGACGTGGGCTCGGGTAGACTTTTTAGGGCGATTTTCAAAATTCTTGTTAAAGTATTGATTTTATTAATTAGATAAGTCTATTATAGTTGTATTTATAATATGTAATTGTGTTTGGCTAGATTTGGGCCATTCGGAGTCGGATAATCGAGGAAAGGACATTCTTACAGATTGATTGAGCTTAATTCAAGGTAAGTGACTTGCCTAACCTTGTGCGGGGGAAATCCCCTTAGGATTTGGTATTATTGTGATATGTGAGCGTCGTGTACGTGAGATGACGAGTGCGTACACTGGCTATTTATTGGAAAATTCGGCTTTTACTGAGTAGTAACTTGTTTTCATCTTAATTGAGTTATACTAGCATGTGTAGTTATCCTGTTTAGTCTAATATCGCATATCTACGTGCTTTAATTGCTTATTTGAACTATGTGCAGCATGCCTAGTTGATTTCCCGTTCTTCCTTGATCTTTATCATTTTTAACTGTAGAATTCTTGCCGTTAACTGTTGTATTTATCGGTTGAGCTGTGTATTTACTTTTGAGACTACGAGGCAGTACCTCGGGAGTTCTCCACGTATATTTACTTTTGAGACTACGAGGCGGTACCTCAGGAGTTCTCCCAGTATATTTACTTTTGGGACTACGAAGCGGTACCTCGGGAGTTCTCCCTGCATATTTACTTTTGAAACTACGAGGGGTACCTCATGAGATCCCCCTGTATATTTACTTTTGGGACTACGGGGCGGTACCTCGGGAGATCCCTCTGCACATTTACTTTTGAGACTACAAGGCAGTACCTCGGGAGATCTCCTCGCATATTTACTTTTGGGACTACGAGACGGTATCTTGGAAGATCCCCTGCTGAGTATCTCATTGTACTGTGTTGTTAATTCTCTGTGAATTTTTTCTGTTAAATTCTCCATTTTTCTTCATTTTATATTTATCATATGTCTTATTATTATATCCAGTAGGGGCCGTACCTGACCTCGTCACTACTCTACCGAGGTTAGGCTTGGCATTTACTGGGTACCGTTGAGGTGTACTCATGCTACTCTTCTGCACATGTTTTGTGTGCAGATCCAGGTGCTTCTTATCAGCCCCGTTCTTAGCTGAGAGTGCTTGCTGCTGTGCGGAGACTTCAAGGTACATCTACCGCGTCCGCAGACCTCAGAGTCCCCCTCTTCAAGGTACATCTACCGCGTCCATCTCTGACACCATATGGGGAGCATACCTTGCTAAAGAATCAAACTGTATACTATACTCTCG